ACGGCCCAATGTCCAACGCCGCCACAGTTAATGCAGCTGGGCTCTTTCGTAGCTGGTCCCATACCTGGCGCGAAGTCTGCCATTGCTAACGAAGCCTCGTCGGATGGATGTCGAATGGCGTGCCGGCAAAGGCCACTGAGGCCTTAGTTGGTAATGAAGGATGATTTATAATCAAAAATCTCTGTAGAACACAATGCAGAATTCGACTCCAGAGACAGAGACTGAGTCACGAGTCTGCTGTGCCCCCAAAAACAAAGATAGTCGCACCCAAGACACAATAATGCGCCCAACTGAGGTGCCGACAGAGAACGCGTGAGCAGGCGCTTCCGCACGATCGACGTCTGTTCCAGAGATCGCGTGAGTCTAGCGCTTGGGACGGTGAGAATGAAGTCAGCAACAAGCTTTGGAGGGGGAAAGCCAACCTCGATCGGTGGCCGTGACAGGTAATGTGGACCAGCTAGGGTCAGAGGGTCGACAGCATATGGTTGATGTCTGTGAGGGGGTGCGTATGAGAGGCTGTTTCTAAAAGATATGTCTCGTAGAGCTTAGCACCAAGTCGATATCTGTCGAGAGGGTGGGATGAGGCCATTCAGAGGTGTCGTCGAGAGAATGCGCTGGTGCTGACTGTGACGGCGCATCGCCTCATGGCAGACGGTCCGTCCTCAATGGTCTGTGATGACGAGCGGCGGAGCAGACTCAGTCCAGCGATGACCTCACTCATGCAGTCGCGAGGGCCAGACGAGTGGTATAGAGCCGCGATATCACACACGCGATGGCATGGCGATGCGATGCAAGGATGAGGGCACAGGAGAAGCGCGACGAAGTTGACCAAAGTTCAAGGTTGCGCGCCCAGGCTCAGGCGCAAAGTGGGGCTGGGTACCTATCCGGTGAGGCACAGCGCCGCCACCGCCCAGCGGCAACAGCTTCCGAGGGGACAGAAGGCTGCGCTGGGCTGAAAGGAGGAAACCGGAAATACGTCGGCCCGGTCATGCTTTCTTTTTTCCATTGCTCAAGGCAGCCAGTCCAGTGATATGCCTTTGTCGCACGCAGCGCTCAATCTGATTCAGCAAGGTGGGCGGGCGGCGGGAAGATACAGTAGCGACACGGCCAGGGAGGGAACATATGGCCTCGTCTCCCCACGGTTGCCGTCAGCCCCATCCCCGGGTGGTATGACAGGCACAGAACCATTCAGGTGACAGGCTGCTGGCGAAGGTATGTCTCTATCATGCATATGTAGCCAGCCATCAACGCGACAGGGCTTGTCTTGCTAGCAGCAGCAGCATACTCCGTGAGAGGGATCTCGGGTAATGGCCAAGCACAGAGTAAGGCATGACAACTGTCGCATTGGATGAAAGGACAGAACACGGTGCCTGGAGAGCCTTTCGGGAGCAGGACGGCACTATGAAAACTAGAAAGATGGAAAGCGACTACTTGGATGCCGCGTCGCGTTCAAACGCGGGCATGTCAGGCTGACCCGCGGCTGCGATGACAGCTTCCCCGATCTCTTGAGCGAGAGGGTGAAACAGATGTAGATATTTCTAGACCAGTCTGGACCCTGAAAAAGAAACGCATGCTCAGCGTCGCGCGATAGTTCGCAGCTGCAGCAGGGGCAGAAGACACAAAAGACGATCCGGAAGGCTGAAGCTGGGAGCAGAGACAAAGGAAACGCAATGGTGAGCAGTGTTATCCGATCCACGGCAGATATGAGATTCTGCAGATGCCAGGTGCTGTGATTTCCCTGGGAGCCAAGATCGTTGGCAGCCGTACGCAACGCGATGCTTTGCGACAGATATGGACAAGGTGGTGCTCGGGACGGAGGAGAAAGCAAGGAAAGGTAACGGCAAATCGGCCCTGAGCAGGGTCAGATGCAGACGCAGCAGATGCGGGCAAAAACGCCCGCCAGGACCAGCTGATCAAACCGGGCCAGTTCTCGCTCTGCTGTTGGCGACGATGGCAATAAGAACACAGGCGCGAATCCAGGCGAGAAAGGTTGACATGGGTAGAGAGTGTGCGAGAGAGAAGAAGAACGAGCGCAGGCGGCTGCGTTGAGTGAGAGGGAGGTGGAGGGGGGATGGACGCTTCTTTATAATTATGCCCCGGGCCAGTCCTGCGTTCCAGCATCTGATTGCACCAAATGGAAGGAAGGACTGGACGGTCGGTCGGTCTGGTCTGGCAGGTGACTGAGGTGACGTTTGAAGCCAGGCTTCCCTAGCCAAGGAATTCCTCAGCATCTTCTGCCAGGGGCTTGCAGCGGACGCAGCCCCTAATAATGTCGGGTGTACGTAAGCGGTACTCAACTCAGGTACTGTTCCCCTTCGTCTGGATTCGCATTTCTCAGCCAGGTCCGAGCTCCCAAGCTGCCTGCCCTCTGCTGCCAATTTGAGATGGTGGATTGAATTGCATGGTTGCCCGTCTTTCACAGCATGACGTCCTTGCTTCTGCAGCCGCTGCCGTCGCCCGTCTAAAGACGAACGGGAAAAAAAAAAACTCAAGGATACCGACCAGTCACGACAACCTCTTTTCCTCCCGCGGCCATCCTCCTCGTCGACGCGCCCTCCTTTCCGTCGCTCCTTTCTCCTCTCGTGGACCACTGACGAGACCACCGCCCAAGGTTTGACGAGACGGACGACAGGCATCGTGGGCAAGCCATCCCCCGCGTCTACGTATATACCCCCCGCCGCCGTCCACCTCGAACCGCCCACAACGCAACCGCCCCTCGTCGACACCGCCGCCGCCGCGCACCTCTGTCCATGTAAAGACTCGTCCTTCTCGATCATGTTCACACAACCACGAAGCCTCTCACCACACATTGCCCGCGCCTGGAGTAGAAGTGGTCACCGCCGACCCGCTTCGTGAGCGGCCTTCGCTGTTGCACCCGCACCGCACCCGCACCCAACACTTGGTAGCGAGTCCTTTTCAATATCCTTCCCCCCCAGCGACGCCGACGCCCTCGCAATACCTGTCGCATAACCTACCATCGCGATGCCCGGTCTTCCAGGTAAGCCTCCGACCACTTGGCTGCGTCATGCATGCCCGATCACGAGGAGCCATCCGCGGCTGACTATCTTCGCGTCACAATAGCGTCCGTCGACCTCGACGAGTGTATCTCGCGCTTATACAAGAGGGAGCTCCTCGCCGAGTCCGTCATCGAGGCCATCTGCGCCAAGACCAAAGAGCTGCTCATGCGCGAGAGCAATGTCGTTCACGTCCGCGCCCCCGTCACCGTTGTTGGCGATATCCACGGCCAATTCTACGACCTGATTGAGATATTCAAGATTGGCGGATGGTGCCCAGACACCAATTATTTGTTCCTAGGTGGGTGTTGTGTTATGACTTGGAAGAAAATCGACAGAAACTTTGGTCAAGAATACGACTGACAGCCCCTGCCCCCCTTCAGGAGACTACGTCGACCGCGGCATGTTCAGCGTCGAGACCATTTCTTTGCTTGTGTGCTTGAAACTTCGATACCCCAATCGCGTTCATTTGATCCGAGGCAACCATGAATCTCGCGGCGTCACCCAATCATACGGCTTCTACACCGAGTGCTCCAGGAAATACGGCAATGCCAATGTATGGCACTATTTCACCGACATGTTTGACTTCCTGACCCTGAGTGTCGTCATCAACGACAAGATCTTTTGCGTCCATGGCGGTATGTGTCCCCACAGCTCGACCGCCTCCATGGCTGCAGCATGCTGACTGATTATTGTGTCCAGGGCTATCCCCCTCCATCCACTCGATCGACCAAATCGTCATCATCGACCGCTTCCGCGAAATCCCCCATGAAGGCCCCATGGCCGACCTTGTATGGTCCGACCCAGACCCCGAGCGAGACGAGTTCTCCCTCAGCCCCCGCGGGGCAGGCTACACCTTTGGCGCGCAAGTAGTCAAGAAGTTCCTGGCGGTAAACAACATGGATCACATCCTCAGAGCCCACCAGCTGTGTCAGGAGGGCTTCCAGGTCCTGTACGATGACCGGCTGAGCACGGTCTGGAGCGCGCCCAACTACTGCTACAGGTGTGGCAACATGGCCAGTGTACTGGAGGTTAGCGACACGGGCGAGAGGTTCTTCAACGTCTTTGCGGCGGCTCCAGAGAACGACCAGCACAAGGACATGCAGCCTGGCGGAGAGAAGCAGGCAGATGGAAACTCGCTGCCCGACTACTTCCTGTAGTAGTACCACAAGCCTCCAAGGTGGAAGACGGCAACAACACAATTGGATTGTCGCACAGGACCGCCACCACCACCAACCCAATTGGTGGTAGCTGCCTTGGCAAGCACACGTAAAATTTCAATGAACCATGACGATATAGCACAATGGCTTTGTGACAAAGACTCACTCGACCCTATGTCAGAAAGACATACATATACAGCTGGTCAGTCGCTAGACCTGCCTTTTTTTCCAAGTTCAAAGGGGCTAGACACATAGAAGAAGAGGGACACAATGATATGATGACGATCCAATGGATTTGTATTCCGCTCGGAAACAAAAAGGATCCCAAGCTGATGAGACTGGAACTATATGCCATCTACCGACCAATCTTTTGTGTGATTCGTGACTTCATGTGTGCCAGACCTGTATGAGGTGGAAGCAAAAATTTAGCAACAACTTTCCCATCCATCCATCCATCCCCCCTGGAGGGTTGCATGTGTGTTATTTTTCTCCTAGTGAAAGGACATTGGCGTTTTGTGTATGTCTTTTGTTTTTTCTTTTCAATTTGTAACTTGAGTGAGTGATGGGGAGGGAGGGCCCCCGTCTTCCCAGGTCCCCAGGTTGGAACAGATGGCAGATCCTGGGGAGTCGCCTGCGCAGACGGATGGATCATCCAGCTCGCTGAACACGGTCTCTAAAATCATTGTCGCTTCTTCGAACTCGACACGGCATTCTCAAGACCGTCGCGGGGCCGTGGCCATGGCTGGGCGAGACAAGACTTGCTGCCCTTTTCATCGGTTTTCGAGGAGGAGAGTGAAAATGAGCGAATCAGGATGCCTCATCCCGTCTACCAGTCCTTGGCGATGTCGAAAGACCACTCGAAGGTCAAATGGGTCTTCTTGTCATCGTCAACGAAGCTGGAGATGGCGTTGTAGTGGCCACGGGCGAGCATGCCGGAGGGGGCGTCCTCCTCTTGGACTATGGGTCGTCAGCCAACTGGGTTCAAAAACAAAATTGAGCCGTTAAGGGGGAAACCTACAGCGCTTGGTGTAGGTGGTCTGCTTGTCGGTGTTGGGAGCGTAGCTACCCTGCGAGGAGAGTCAGTTATCATCAGAGCCGCTGATGGACGGAGGGGTGAGGAACTTACCAGCATCTCAGAGTCCTTGCTGACCTTGATTCCCTTGCGCTTGACGACCTGGACGTACTGGAGACCGCTGAGAATCTCGTGCTGGACCTTGAAGGTGGCAACCATGGTAAACTTGGCACCCTCCTTGATCTTGAAAGGCTTGTCCTTCAGGCTGGCCTCAGAGCCGGGGGCGGACAGGTCGATGGTGACGGGGTCGCGGCCGGGGGACTCCATGGTCAGGGAGAGGATGATGCAGACACGGGGATCGTTGGGGTCAGAGAGGTCCTTGCCGCCGCCGAGGCCGAGGGACTCCTTGTAGCGCTGGAGAGACTCATCGTTCTGGTCTGTTGCCGGGTTAGTCGGGGTGACTTCTCCATCTTCTTGTTCAAAATCTCCACGCTCGTATGTATCGACAGTGACTCCATGAGCTGCCAGGACTGCGTTGGGTGAGGTGTAGAAATCCCGGATGAGGGCTGGATCTTGCCGCTGCTGCTGCGGCTGGGATTTGGGGGAGTTGGGAGGATTGGGGGGCACAGGCCGTGAGAGGGCTCTGGCTCGGTGAAGTTGGCTTTCCAAGGAGGTAAGCTCTGATATGCCACCACCAGCTGCAGCAAGGGCTGGAGACTGTGCGCGAGACTCGGATGGGGTGTTGAGGGGCGCCGGAGGCACTTCAATGGAGTTGCGATGCTGCAAGGCGTTATAGCGGTTTTGGCGCCGCATAACCTGGCGCATGCCCTCGTACAGTCTCTCCATATCGAGGCGATATTGCTTTTGTTTTTGTGTTTTTGTTCTTTGCAGTACAGCAAATACCCAAAAACAAAGGTGAAGAGAGCGACTGCTGACGAGAGGCAGGTTTGATAGGAGTGATGATGTGGTGGTGAAGGATGTGTGGTGAGGTGCTGGCAGTAACTGGACAGGCAGGAGGAGCTCCTGTCCTGGGTGGTCTTTCCCAACTTGGAGCTCATGATGGTGTTTTGCACGTATTCAGTGCTGAATAGCATGAGGACTAGCTGTCACCGAGGTGAGTGAGGAGCTCTGGGAGCTATTCTCTGGCACACACCAATCTCTAACAAAGGTGAAGAGGTGAGGTGAGGGGCACACACAAAGGACCCATCCCCAGCTGTATCGTCCACTCGAAGCATGATGTGGCAAAGGTAAAGGCAGACAATGGGGATAAAGACACGACACAAATCATACTGAAAGAGAATCAGGACTCACCCATCTGCTGGTACTCAGCGAGACTCTGCTTGGGCTGGGAAAGCTTGTAGCCCTGAGTCTCCTCAGGCATGGTGTCCTCTTGCTCGTGGGAAGCCATCTTGATGGTGGGGTATCGGTGAGAGCTTTGGGTGAGAGAGTTGAGGTGTTGGGTGTTGACGGTGCTGGAATAGGCTCTGGATGTCGAACAACGGCAGCAGCAGCAGCAACAGCAGAGAGAGGCGGTGCGTAAGCTGAGATGAGAGATCTGTGACGATGTTCACTCTGGAGGAGAAGTTTAGGTTCAGGGTCGGTTGGTGAGTTAAGGTAAGGCAGGCAAGGCACGGCAAGGCAAGGCAAGGCAAGGTAGTAGCTTTGCTGGAGGTTGGAGGCTGGAGCCCGGAGGCAGGTACTCGGGGGCCAGGCGTGGCACGCTACGGCAAGCAGGTCACCGCTTCCTTCCATTCGATGCGTCCAGTCGACCAGACCACCTCAGCGACCAGCTAGACCTGGACGCTCCGTCCTCATCCTCCAATGCTTGCTGAGGTTGCCCCTCACGGCTCCCGGCCCAGGCCCAGCAGTGACCTGAAGGACTGGCCGCGGACAGGCCAACCGGCGGGCTGTGGGCGCTGGATGTGGGGCTCTGTGCTGTGGATTGTGGAGCCAGGACCGCCTAAGGTACACTACAGTGTGCTGCGTAGACGAATCGAGCTCTGCCATTGGCCGAAAGCAATGGTGGGGTTCGGCTTGCATTGATTGGCCGACATCTGGAACAGCATGGAACTTCACACACGAAACCAGGCACTTTTCCCACCTACTGTCCACAGAGTCCTCGTTTGCATCTGCCAGCAGGTGTTGAGACGTGGTAGTGTGCTGCGGAAACAGGAGGAGAGGAGGATCATGATTGCCTTCGTGCTTGCCGCATCTTGCTTTTGGTATCATCGGCATCCATGGCTTAGGTGATATCTGGATGGAGGGGTTGTTAACAGGCAATACACAGGCACCTTTGACCACTGCCCCTCCATGATGACCGTTGAGACTGCAGAACGGTACCTTTCTGCGTGGCAATCTGCCCCTCATGGGTGTCATTGACGGCCAATCTCGATGCGGCGTGGAGGGGCAGAGGGGGCCATCCGTCGATATTGGCCAAGGTGTTTGGAGGAGCGGTCTGGTCTGCAGCTCATGAGGGGCAGGTTCCCAAGGTAATTCGCTCGCTCCCGTGCCGTCTGCGACCGAGTCCGGTGCCTGGCCAGCCGCGACATTCACATTCTGCCGACCTGCCGCCGTTCCTGGGGTTCCTGTGTACGAGCATGAGCTCGACAACAGACATGAACAACGCATGGAGTAGAGAGGCATGTGGCTTGCGGAAGTGAATCCATCAGCCACCAGGATGCGGGGGTGTTCTCGTGGTTGACATGAACCTGCAGCTTGTGTCCGTAGATGCAGACCGAGAGACTCTTCGTATCTTATCTCTCCACGCATCACGGATGCATGCCCATTTTATGCACCTTGCATAACCGCTACGTATCCCCCTCTGCCTCTGAGGTCTCAATCATTCTCGCCTGCACCAGTCATCCGTATCATCGCCATCTGACCGCAATTGCCAGACAGACACTCAGTAGGAATCTTTCTGTGATCTGGAGCCAATTGGCAGCAACACAGAGATGACGGCTTGGCTTCTCATATTCGTTGCCCAGCCAGCGCCGCCGTCTCCATCCGGTGCCTGGGTCCGGCCCCTTGAAGCTCCGATCTGGGTATGGTGAGAGCTTCAGGCATTTATCCGCATCGCTGGATCGTCCTTTGTTTCTGAGAGGGTGCCTGTCGCCCTGTCATTGATCGGTTGGTCGCACATCAACGGTGACAGACAGCAACGTGGTAGTTGGATGACTTGGAGTGATGCGGTTGGCCCGAGGCAGCAGCCTACCTCATAACGCTGATCTAGTAGCTATGGGTGCTAAGGTAACCCCCGCGCCTGTGGTCTGAGATGTTCTCCTCACTGCCCGAAGCTTAGTCCTGGAGATGGTCGCTGCTCGTGTCGTTGCGACGAAGAGTGTGCGGCAAGGAGAGGGACAATCCATGTTGGACGTGTGACCCTCAAATCCGCGATGAAGCCACCGACAGCCCCTTGCACTGTGGCTCTCCCCCCGCTTCTTGCTGCGAACGGTTCCCGGGATGCTCTGAGCTTTGCGCGTACGCGACGAGAATGTTGGGAATTTTTCGAGAGCGCTGAGCGAGAAGCAGGGACCAGCGGGTCTGCGACTGGAGCCTCAGAGAATGAGAGAGGAAAAGGTTCGGCTCTGCGACTTCGCGACGACTCTAGCCTAAAACTGAGGCAACGTGTGCTCAACCAGAGAAATCTTCGAGACGATCATCGCGGCCTGCCAATGGAAGAAAAGACCAGTCTTGCCAGAGCCCAGGGGTCACGCAACGGGAAAGGAGAGAAGGGGACCGTCGCATCTGGTGATTTCCCTCCTGGTTTGCTCAGGGGAGGACTTTTTCTCTCTTTTTTCTCGAAGCGCGCCTTACCGTTTTGTATTGCTTGCACCCTCTCTGGGGAAAGCACCAGGGGACGGAGGAGGTGGTCTCCCAAGGTGGTAGGTGGGTGCAGTAGACTAGTACAGAGTTTTCCCATACAAAATACGCCAAGCAAAGAAGTATCCTCCTATGTCGCGTCTCCTCGTGTCTTCTTCATCGGGACGCTTCAGCCCATTCACCTTGCGAGCCCCCCATGCCCCCAAACTGCTGCTGGGACCCTTTTCACCCAAATTAACCCAATGAACAGAGGACTGCTGGACCCTCCCACTGTCCCCGAATCATTGTCGGAGCTATCGATCGCAGCAGCTGGCGCAAGTGCTTGCTGCGAGTGCTACCCACTGTCGCTGCTGCTGCTGCCGCTGCCATCGCTCTTCCTTCCCGTCGGTCGTTGCTGCTCCAGCAGGTCCAATTTGCGCGCGCGCGCCTGCCCATCCACACTTTCTTCTCTGCTCGTCTCGCGCCCATCTCCTCACTTTCCTCCGTCTATCCTTTTTTCCTCCATCACCCATCCTTTTGAGACACATCCGTCGCCCTTTGAGTTTTCTCACCCCTTCGCCGGGACTCTGCTCCCGTTTGCTTGCTATACAAACCAATTCTAATCCTTTTCATTGACATCATCTCCCCCCCTGCAACTATCTTACGCGACAGGTCTACCCGTCACGTCTCGCCAGCTCCGAACGAGTCCCGTGAGCGACACCATCGCCGCTTTTTTCGCGCGCCCAACTTACCATACAAGGTGCTCAGACTGACGCGACCATTCACCTTTAGTCCTTTCCCGTCTCCTCCGATCAACCCTGGCCGATTCCCGATAAACGCGATCCGAGCAATCACCCCTCGGTTGCCTTGACGCGCACATTGCAACAACCTCAACTACTCGCTTTTAATCACCAATCCCGACGCGCGCACATTCTCTCACCTCAAAATGCCGTCCGCGACAGCACCTGCCGTCGAGAGGCATCTGCCGACCAAGCACAATCCTCTCCTGCTCGACGATGTGCCCCCTTGTAGGATGCCCTGCCCCGTCGGTCGCGCCCACCCCGTGGACTTTTGCTCACATTCTCGCAGACAAGGACCTCGTTTCGCGTCGCCGCCTCGGCCAGACCCAGTTGACAGCCAAGATGGTTAACATTCCGGATGGCGACAGTGGTGCCCTCGGCGTCTTTGATTACGCTCATCTGCGCGCCCCCCTTCCCAAGGGCATCGTCTCTGGTATCTTCAAGTCCAGTCCTAACAGCTACTTCCTTATGCGGAGAAGTCACGATGGCTTTGTATCTGCTACCGGCATGTTTAAGGCTACCTTCCCTTACGCCGAGGCTTCCGAGGAGGAGGCCGAACGAAAGTACATCAAGTCCCTCGCGACTACGAGCCCCGAGGAGACTGCTGGCAACGTTTGGATCCCTCCTGAGCACGCCCTCACCCTGGCCGAGGAATATCGCATCCTGCCCTGGATCCGCGCTCTCCTCGATCCCGCTAACATCTCCGTCTCCAACACTCCCGATAGCCCACCGAAGAAGATCACCGCTCCCCCCAAGTTCGAGTTCGTGAAGCCGACTCCTAGCCTAGCTCCCCCTGCTACTCCTACAACGCTGCGCAGATCCCGCCGCTCAGCCAGCCCAACCAAGACAGTCATTCCCAGGCCCACCAGGTCGCCTCGGAAGCGCAGGGCGAAGGCTGACTCGGTGGAGCCCCGCGAGACAACGCCCGCCCTCTCTACCACTAAGCTCGAAATCAACGGTGTCATCAGCGAGGACAAGAACGCAGAGGCCGAGGTCGAGACTATCATCAAGACTGTTGAGGCAGAGCCCGCGGTCGTACTTGATCCGCGAGAGGAGGAGCCTAAGGCTAAGGTCGTCGTAGACCAGGACGTCAAGACAGACGAGGATGGGAACGAGAAGAAGACTACCTCCGTTTCACTCGAGCTTCCTTTGATGAGCTCCCAGCCCCCCAGCGCTGAGGAGACAGCTCGTATGATTGCCGAGGCTAGACAGATGGTCGAGGCCGCGAAACAAGAAGGCGGCAACAAGAAGGGCAAGCGTGGAGCCGAGCAGATTTCAACAGGGGACGACGAGGATGAGAAGAAGGATGGTGCGGCTGACGTCGCGGAAGAGCCTCGCTCGAAGAAGGCCAAAACACAAGAGGCCGCCCAGGTCCAGATCAAGAAGCAGGGCATGCGCAAGCGCGCTCTGTTCGGCATGACCGCGCTATCAGTAGCCGTTGGGTACGTTCTTACGGTGCTTGACTATCGAGACGATCGATGCTAACAGTGTCCATAGTGCATTTTCTTACTTTACCGGTTCGTTCTAAGGTATCCTCGTAAGTATTGAGGATACAGTCTGGGGCGGCTTTGAAAATTGAGTAGCATTTGGATGAGTCGGGTGGTCTGGCCAACGGAGCAGCGGAGTTTCCGGTTGCTCTTGGGATGTTGCTGGGATGGCAGACCTGGTGGCACAATTTTTAACATCGCTTATTGCCTTTCTTTCACTCATACCCAAATAGAGCCTCGGGGACAGACCCAGGCCGGCTTTCTTTCACTCTCGGGAATTGTTGATGTGGGGACAAACTATGTGTATATTGGAAGGGCCTTCTGGGTGAAAAGGCGACACGGAGGGCGAGTCACGGTTCAGGATTGACGGGTATTGTAATCGATGTATCGTTCTGGTGCTTGCTTTGTTTGCGCACGAGCATGGATGGTGGGTGGGATGTACAGATGTCGAGTTGTCTAAGGTATCGTGATGTTTCGGCGTTGTCCAGTTTGATGTACTCGCTCATTCGCAGTAAGCACCGGTCTACAGATCAGTTCCATTGTTTAGTTGTCCATATCTCATTGAGCTCATCCGTAGGCCCTAGCTGAGCGCAAAAAAAAGGTGTCTCGAAGCATTCCCGGTCGGGTCCCTCTTTTTCTCCAATCCGGGGCCGCTGACGCCATGCACGGGGGAGGAGGGGCAGGGGCCGTTTGGGGGCACAACATCATGGTCTCGGGTCGGGCCAAGGTCCTCGCGTCTCATCACACTGGTGGCTAAGACCGGCAATGGCCGGCTCCCCGGATAAGCGTAACCCTCCCCGCAGTATGAGGAGCTTGGGGTAGCTCGGTTGGAATGCGCCTCGTCTAGCCGCGCGAGCTCGATCGTGGAGGGGGGATTGGACTTTTTGTTTCTGTGCACTGCCGTTTTCAAGTCTCTCGGAATTACCATTTGACTCTGTTCAACTTCAGTTTACTTGACTAGTTTGCCATTTGAAAGATGCGTTCGAGCTCGCTACGGACCCTCCGAGTTGCCCAAAGGCGTGGGTTTGCGACGACGCCGCGTCGCTTGGATAGTTATGGCTTCATCGGCTTGGGGCAGATGGTGAGATTCCCGACGGCTTCCACGTTATGGCATCTTGACGGAATCCAGCAATTGACCGAAGTGCTTAGGGTTACCAAATGGCCAAGAACCTCCAGTCAAAGTTGAGCCCCAAAGATGAGATCCGCATCTTCGATATCAACAAGGACGCTGTCTCGAACCTGGCCAAGGAGATGGGACAGTCGCAGACTGGCGGCGCCAAGGTCGCCATTGTGGACAGCGCGAGGGATGCCTCGACAGAAGCGGTACGTTGGCTTTTCCTCATGAATCTCGTTTTGGGGCGTTCCAAATATGTCACTGGCAATGTTTATTCTTCCGTCTTGGCTGGATGGTGTGTTTTTCTTTGGTGTTCTTGTGAAACGTCTTGAAGCGAGGCAAAACTAATAAACCCAGGACACCGTCATAACAGTTCTACCAGAACCATCACACGTGAAATCAGTTTACAAGTCTATCCTCACAGACCTCCCCCCCCGTCCACGCATCTTCATAGACTGCTCCACAATCGACCCCTCGTCCTCCCGCGAAGTCGCAGCCTCCGTCGCAGCAGCACAGCCGTCGGGCATTTTCGTCGACGCCCCAATGTCGGGCGGCGTCGTCGGCGCCACGGCCGGCACCTTGACGTTCATGCTCGGCTGCGAAGAATCCCATCTCGCGCGCATCGAGCCCGTCCTTCTCCGTATGGGCCGGCGCGTGCTGCACTGCGGACCGCAGGGAACCGGTCTCTCCGCGAAGCTTGCGAACAACTACCTGCTGGCGATCAACAACATCGCCACTGCCGAAGCGATGAATCTCGGTATCAAGTGGGGACTGGATCCGAAGGTGCTTGCGGGCGTGATCAACGTCAGCACGGGCAAGTGCTGGCCCAGCGAGGTGAACAACCCTGTCAAGGGCGTCGTCGAGGGAAGCCCGGCGGGGAGAGACTACAAGGGCGGTTTCGGGATCGGGCTGATGAAGAAGGACCTGGGGCTCGCCGTTGTCGCTGCCAAGGAAGCCGGGGCGAAGTTGGAGCTCGCTGACCGCGCGACGGAGGTCTACGCTTCTGCCGAGGCGGAGGAGAGGTGTAAGGGGCGAGATTTCTCGGTTGTGTATCGATACCTTGGAGGTGAAAAGTCATGATTGGCCAGTTTCGCTGTCAGACAAATTGAAGAATAGAGAGACGGGATGTTACTTGCGAAGAACGTCGGCCCAGCCAGCCGTTGAGGGACCAGGCGTGACTCTTTTCCCCCCCTTTAAAACAGATCTCTGCTCCTTGCGCCACCACTGCGCCCTCGCTTTCGCCTCCTCGGGGCCGAGATGATCGAGACACAGCTCGCAGGTGTAAAGCTTCGGTTTGGGGCGTCGATGACTTGCATCAATGAGAGTGTACCCGGGTGCGACCTTCAGCGCTTCGAATTCCAGACCGGAGGGGTTGAGCGCCGGGTCGGCCGGGTCCGGATCAGGGGTCGGGTCACGGAGGACACCGCAGTGGGGTCCGGAAGCCGGTGCTGCGGGGCATTTTTCAAGTTTGCCAGAGGGCTTGGCGGCCCGAGTGTTGCAAATGCTGCAAATATGGAGAATTACGTTTGCGTAGCACATCATGGTGTTGTGCGATGTGGTGGGTGGTTGTCCGTGGACCGGAGGGTTGGATATACCTATGGTTAAAACGACATCAAAAGAAGCATATGGACCCAGCTGAACAGCGCAGAGACTTGTGGTAAATTCTAGTCTTGAACAGTCTGTTGATTTGAGATCATTGACATGTGGAAAAAGGTGTTGTCTCGAGTGCTCAATCAAAGGAGTAAAAGTTCTGCAGAAAGTCCTTGGTATCAAAGACGACGGGAGGCAACCCCGAGGCACAGGCACCATACCATCAAAGAATCGGATAGCATGGGCTGGAATGAACAATACCATTGAATTTCAATTAGTGCTGGAGAACGCACTTCTAACGATTCTGATGGTGAATCTGATGTATCATCTCTGTTTGGACGTTGCCATTTGAGATGGGACTTCATCCTTATTCATCAAACCAACATGCTCTCTCAACACTCGACCTGAAATTCTTATGCCGACTCTCGTCCGGATTCAACTTTTGTGCCTTCCGGTGTCGTTGTGGTAGTCTGGCTCTTCTCGCTCACATCAACCTTGCGCGCGTTGGCCATCGCCGGGAAGAAGACGCCAGGGTGGAAAATCGTCAACAGGGACACGCAAATGAGGACAAGTCCGCCGTCAAGAATCATGAACGAGATCTCGTCTTGCATGATGTGGTTGCCCCATCCGCCTGCCATCTCAGCAATACTACGTCGCCGTCAGTATCCATGTCCCTTCATGTCAACATTTTAAACTCACCGGTAGATGCAACGAATCATGACGCAGGCGTACGCTCCGATGATGCTGAAGATGAACATCCTAAACTTCTTCTGGTTCCAGAGCGTGAGCTCCGAGGGATCCGTGTCAGGGCTCCGCGCCCATCTCCTCACGCGGATGAAGTAGTCTGCACCGGCAGCACCAAAGGCCATCAACACCACAACCTGTAGGACGATACCCGCGATGATGGCGCGGTTGCCACCGTCAAGCAGAGACTTGTTCGTCTGGCCTGCGGCGGCGGCCAGCCCTCCTCCAATCGCCTGGATCACGAGGCAAGTCAGATCGGCAGGGAGGAAGATGAGCGGATAGAGGCGGGGCCGGATTCGTGAGAGGGCCGGGTTGAGGTTTGCGGAGACGTGCTTGAGGATGAGGTAGATTCCTGCGCAAATGAAGGTCGGGCCGAGGATGATGGTGCAGATTTGCATCTGGAAGGCGTCCTTGTTCCAGGGGTTCTCGTGGAGGAGCACACGACCGACGTAGCCTGGGTCGTCCTTGTTAGTCTCGCGACTGAAGAAGCTTGGGGCAAGCGTTTGTGTTCGCCAGACGACACATGGGATGATTGAGCCTCGTACCGACTGTTTCCAACACACAACCGCCCGTGACGAGGGCCATGAAAGACCATGTTCGCTTCCGTATGCCGAGGAAGGCCGATGCCAATACAATGAGGCCAAAGGCCACCGCGAAAAAGATGTTGGCGCCGAGATTGGGATAGTAGGATAGAACCGTCATGTCAACGGGACAGAGGTCCGAGACTTCGGTGCACTCCTTGAAGCGGCGACCAGCCCCTGTGCTGTTTGTTGACATGTTGGCGATGTTTTTCACCAATCAAAGTTTTCTATCGTGTTCTGCTTTCGGTGACCAAAAAAATTGCCCCAAAACGTGTACGGCGCAGAGCGAGCCGCCTACAATCAGCGTTTTGATTCTACTACTCGTCTTCGCAAAGCTGCAAATGGCCTTGTCTGTAGTCTGTCGCGGAGCAGGGACCAAATCAAATTATGTATGTATGAAATCGACAATGAAAAGAACGGACATCAAGGGTCCAAACGAAACCAGGTGCAGAGATGAAACGAACGAGACGCAGCAGTGTAAGCAATCATGGGCGCGCCGGATCTACATATATGTATGCACGGAATCATCACTGCGCACCCTCTCTTCCTCCGTTGACCGGGGCAGTGAGGTGGATCTGGACAAACGAGCCCTTCAAACGGCCGCCGCCCGAGTGCTGACGGGCCTGCGTGCCTGCCTGGGCTTCGATGACGGGAACGAGGAAACCGAGCCACGCGAGTATTTGCGGTCCGCTGGACAGACGAATCATTGAAATCAAGGTGCGGCGAACGGGAGGCGCTAAGCCTAGGGCCAAGATGCCAGTCTCCTTCCCGAGGACCCGCTGGCCTTCTCGAATGGGAAAGCAATGCGCCCGTAGACGGGACTTGATTGCCCATTGGATAAGTGTGCCCAATGGTGTTTGGACGTGCGCTTGTCCAGTGAGATAGATGGCTTGGGAATGTCATGTCGCATGTGGCATATAAGTCGTGGGTAGAGACGCTAGAGGATGATGAGCATGCTGAAACATCTCTTCTTCTCTCTTCGATTCGTTTTCGCCGCAAGCCAAACCCCCAGCCCTTCTCAACGATATCCCCGTTTGCGGCTCATCTTCACCCGTCAAGAGGCAACATGGAGAGACAGCAACTCGGGTCAAGTTCAAGAACCGGCACGGGGTCCCAGTGGAGATTCGCAAGACCAACACCCCGAGTCTTAGCTCACTCTAGCGCCTTGGCCGAGCCTGCGTTGTGTCCACTCGTCCGAGTCTTTCGATCGCTAACCGAACCACACGAGTTAAGCGATATCTTTTGGGGGCGCCTCCCGAGTCCCTAACCGAGAAATCTCGGTTGGCCAAGCGAGTCGTTGGAAATGCCTGTCGCCCGCGTGGCTAGACTGGTTACCCCCGGAGCAAACCCCGTAACACTGTAACACAGCATCTAGATTATCGGCATAATCAATACCGCAGAATTTCAGAAAAGGCACGCGGAGTTTACTGCACCCGGCTTATGTGAGATCTGCTGTTGCTGGGGTAGACAAACACAGCGTGTTCCTAGCCGATCGTTGGCGGTCACCGTTGAAACCTGAAGCAAGAGACATACCGTTGGGGAAAATGCTTTGTGTGTTTTGTATGCGCACCTCGTCTGGAGCGAGGTCTCTAGGGATGAATGTGTGTTTAGTCTTTGATGCTGTCATGATTTGACAAGCTTGTCCCCTTCGCCGTCGTCACTATCGCTCTCCTCTTCATCATTGTCTTCGTCTTCATCTTCGTCGTCGTCGTCTTCCTCCTCATCTTCCTCGTCACTGTCTTCTTCGCTCTCAGACTCTTCTTCCTCTTCTTCATCGTCATCACCCTCCGCGAGCCAATCGTCCAAGCTCTTCCCTCCAACGCCCTCTCCGAGACCGTTTGTTTTTGTCGGTGCCGCCTTGACAGCGCTATCGAGCATTTGACTTGCTGGCACACTCTTCTCTTCGCCGTAAGCTGATGGCGCCGCCTCCGTGTCGCGCAACCGTCTGTCTGGCTCCGAGCCTTCCGCCACCCACTCAGGGAGTGCATCATAACCGCGCAAACCATGGATTCCACCCCCACCTGCCAGCACAAGCGTCGACGACCCAAGCATGAACCCCTTGCGTGTTTCCGACGGGCTGGGGGCCTGAGGGGCTGGCTTCGGAGCCAGGAGCATCAACGTGGCAAGCTGCGGTACAGATAGAAGGGCTCGATACATACGAGCGCGGTCGCGAAGATCGTAAGAAGTGTCGTATCGCACCAGCAACAGTACATAGTCCCACAGCTTGGCGACGGGGTGGTCGTCTTGACTCGGAACAGCCGCTTCGTCTTCGCTCTTGTTCTCGTTCAGTCGATTAAGGTGGTGCAGATAGACCTTCGCCGCCAGAAGCAAGATCTGTCCTTTTGCTGCCTCCGATTCACTGGCGAAATCCTTGACGAGAATTCTCAGCACATCGGCAGCAATGTTATTCTCGCCCTTGAGACCCGAAAACTCGCCCACCAGCCAGATGATTGTTGCACGGGCCTGAGGGTCTGTTGCCGAGTCAAGGTTCTTTGCCAACCGCACGACAGTGCCAACGTGCCCCTGGGGGTCTTGCTGAATCAAGTGTCGAATCACGGTCAAAGACTCTGCCGCCAAGGTGCCGTCCAAGCTCGTGATCTGGCCCAGTAGTAACCGTAGACAACGAGGGGCTGTAGATGAGTCGGTTTGGGCACATCGTCCGATGGCACGCACTGCTTCTCGCACCAATGCCTTGTTTGTGGACCCTGAAAAGTGCTCGAGCTCGTTCAAGATTAAGCTCTTGATGTGGGGTGGTGCGTGGGGGAAGATGAGCGTGAGGATTTCCAACTTGAGCTCCCACACCTGCGCTGGGTCCGTAGCCCTGACGAGAAAGTGGCTGGCATACTTGACGAAATCGGTCGGCCTTGTCAAGCAGACTGAGACGATGTTGTAAAGTGCGACCTGCTGGATATCCTGCGCACCCCTCAGGAGTGCCACCAATGGACCGATGGAGATTTTGACATAATCTGGCGTCCCGATGTCGACATAGCATCTTGTCACAGCTATAACGACTGCCGAGTTCCTGCTTTGAAGCAGAGGCTTGATTCCATTGAGGAGCATGGCGAGATCTGGGTCCAGCACCACGACTTGCTGTTCCTCTCCTGAATCTTCTGTAGTCTCGCCGTAGAAGTCGCCCAGGTCCGCCGCCTTCTCCTGACTCTTTACACTGCGCGTCCGCCTCGGGAAACATTTTCTGGCGTAGTAGGTCATCATGCGCAACGTTGCCAGCTGGCTCCATTCGTCCATATCCACAATCTTCTTGACCAAGGCGCGGTAATGTTGGTGGATGAGATCGATCCGTTCGGGGCACACCTCGAGGAACGCCGATACCGCTGCACCTGCGACGAAGTACTGCTTGTCGCCAAGGAGGGTGGTCAAATAGTCGAGGAGTTGAGGCAACTGGGTTGGGTCGAGACGGTAGCACTTGGGGATGGAGAGAGCAGCAGCTCGGCGCACAAAGGGGCTCATATCTGCGACGCCCTTCTTGATCGCAAGAGACACGATTTGGCTGATGACGGGCACTCGGATACCAGACATGGTCTTGAGAGCGAGAGCGCGAACCTGGGGGTTCGTGTCGGAGAGGGATTTCTGTATAGTGTTGATGGAGAGGAGGGCGAGGTCGGGCTCTTGCTCGGCATGGTGGATGAGGTATATGTAGACAAGCTTCTTGATCTCGATGTTCGGCGAAGCAACATTCTTGACGACGGAGGAGAAGAAGGGTAAGGTCTTCTGGCCACGATACATCATCTGATGGTGGGGGAAGTTAGTCTTGGCCTGGACTGCAGCCGGCGGGGAGGTTTCGTACGGAGAGGACGCGGCGGAGGCCGTCGAGAACCTCGCGCTCATTGCGACTGTCCAGCAGCTTCTTGATCTGTGTACGGTCGAGAGGGCGACCGGTGCTGCGGGCGCTGCGCGTCGCCGAGGCGGCATCGAGGGTGAGCTCTCGAGCTGTACCAAGAGGTCGTTAGCAGACCGAGGACAGAGGCAGAGGACACGGAAACACTGCGCTGGCGACGACGATGACGGAGGTACGCACCGCTCTCGAGGAGGCTGGATATCCTCGCTATGGACTCCATGCCGGGCCAACGGTGGACAGGTCGGAGCTCGGGGGTCAAGCTTCGAAGGCGACGTTGGATCTGGAGATGGAAGCTGTCGAAGTGGCAGGGAGGGAGATGACGTTGGTGCTTGGAAAGCTGAGCGGACGACCACGGTGCACCGCGGCGAGGGGCAGTGGAGAGGCTGCGCTGGCTGGCTCTTCGGGTGCGACTGCCCTGGCTGACGTGCTAAGGTGCCCGACCCAGCGAGAAGCTTGCCGCAGCTGCAGCGGGATGGCTCGGGAGCACCCACTGAAGATGCGCTGCCCCACCACAAACACACAGCTCGGCCAGCCATCCACCGTTCTCGAGGTGCATGTTGTTCATAGATGCCACTCACTTACACAAGCAGAAACCTCATCATCATCACCACAAAACAATCATCCTCTTCCTCTGCCTTATGTACCAGAGGATGGCTTCGCCCAAGGTCCTGTCGCCAGCCTCACCTTCCGAGCTTCTTCACTACATCAGGACCTATCAGATCTATCCGACAACGCTCGTCATCTGTTACTCCCAAGAGGAATTCATGCTTTCCCTCGTGGCAGACATCAAGAGCCAGTTCACCCAAGAACAACTCCAAAACGCCGACGAAGACCCCCCTCATCCTCTCTTCGCCAAACCAATCTTCCAGCAAGTCATCGCACGCCACATTCGTGTTATATTCGTCCCAACCGTCACCCACCTCCGCGCCAACCTCTCAGTCTTCTCTCCTGCAGATTCACCAACGCCAGCCCCCCCAAATCTGCCCCCGCCGTCGGCTAAAGACAAACCGCCGTTGCTTCTCGTCTACGGCTTCATGGACCTCCACAGGGACAGCAGTGAGTGGAGTGCCCAGGGTATCAGTAACTCGGCTGCCATCTTGGTGGAGGCAGCTCACCGCGCTGCTTTCAAGCCAATCATCGTCGAACCCAAAGGCGCTGGTCAACACCAAGATTTCGATTCTCTCTTGAGAGAGCCTGCGCCAATACTGAGCGGAAGCTCAAAAAGGGACGAGGGCGGCTGGACCGGGAGGACAGTCGAGGTGAGACGCGTGCTTGGCAGATGGTTTCGCTTTCAAGAGGGTCAGTGGGATGTTGAGTGGCCAGAAAACAAGGATTCTTCATAGCAGACGGTGTGCATGTGGTCTGCATTCTTCACGTAAATATGTACAAAGAGTACTGGATCCGTGGTCCTCCTTCGCGCGTACGTAAATCGACGGCTCCCAACCCCAAACGCCGAGCCCGTGGTATCTCTAAATCATGTCTTCGTTGCAAAATTGATCATGGACAAAAAGAGACCCTCACTTCAAATCGCCTGCTCCATCTCGGTGATGTACAGTTTGATGTGGGAGTCCATCTTGAGGAACTCGTCGTAGGCACTGTGGATCTCATTCTCGATGTTCTCCTTGAGATCGAGCATCTGCCGTAGGGTCAGTAGACTGTTCCAAAGTGTCATTGGACGAAACAAAGTGACGTGTAACGTACCTTCTTCTCCGTCTGTTCAATACGAACTCTCCGTCTCTCCATATCTTTGCCCTTCTCCGTTCGCTCCTCGGTAAGCTTCCGGTGAACTGCGCGCAACTCCTCCATTTTCTCCTTGGCCTCATGAGCCTTGGCAGAGCTCTGTTCACGGAGCTTCTCAGTCCGCTCGTTCCACTTGACCAGCTGCCTCGAAAGCAGAGACTCGGTCCGCTCAACCTCGCGTACGTTGTTACCACGCTCGGAAAGAGCGTCTCGCTGCTTGGCGTTCTTGAGGTTCTCTTCCTCCTCTTTAGCCAGTTCGACACCAATTTCGTCGAGGATCTTGATGCAGGACGCCACATCGGTTGAGACCACAGCAAAGGAGTCGGCCGAGGTCTGCAGGGCACGCGAGCGACGGTCCAGTGAGTCAATGTGTGACTTTTCGCTGTTGAGAGTGTTGCTCAGCTCGGTCAAGCTGGACTGCAGCGCAGAAGGGCTCTGCATGACATATGGCCTCAGCTTCTGGCTCTCCTGCTTCAATGCCAGCTTCTGCGCCGTCTTGTCCTCCAGAGTGGCCGTGAGCTCCGTCTTCTTGACCTTGGCGTCCTCGAGACGGGCAGCCACACGCTCCTGGTTGCGACGGAGGTCCAATAGCCTCTGCTTCAGCTCCTCATTGCGCGTCGTCTTCTCGCGCACCTGGGCCTCCATTGCCTTGCGGTTGCGCTTCATGTCGGCAATGCGCACCTCCATCTCTTGGTTTTCCGAGTACAAGCTCTCGATGCGCGCCTTGGTGGTCTCGGCTTTGTTGAAGTGATCGTCGATGACACTCGTTTGCGACTCGCGGAAGCGCACAAAGTTGATGAGGTAGCTGAAGATCTTGACGAGGCGATCGTGCGACGGCTTGTACAAGTCGTTGAAGCTGAAATCATTAATTCCGCATTCAGCGAGGAGACGACGCAGAGAGACGTAGAAGCCCATCAGGTTGCGGGTGTCGGGAGGGACGACGTCGGAGTATTCGCCGCAAATGTCCTCGGCAGCAGCGCGCATGGCAGGCTCGACCGTCTCGCGAGTGGCATTGAGCAGCAGCTCGGCGAACCACTCGAAGATCATCTGGACCTGGAGAGGGTTGGGTTTCTGGAGGTCGGCGACAGTAAAGGGGATTCCGATGTCCGTTATGCAGCCGACAATCTCCTTGTCGGGGAGGCGCATGAACGCGTCGGCCTCATCTTCCTTCTTGCGGGTGTTTCGCGACTGGGTTTGGTTGGTGGGAATGATGCTCATTCGAGGATTGTACGACATCTTGGGCGATAGAGAGCCCCGTGTAGAGGCAGTAATGCGATACGATGTTGTGAAGAAGAAATAGGTCAACCGCTGCTTGAGTAGAGTAGTTTGATGTTCATCGGGCTGTCGCGACGGACTCTTGGGCTACCAAAAGATTCTAGATTGACAAGCGTAAACAGAAACGGTCCTTGGGCGCCGTGTTGCTCCGCCAACCTCCCCACCCCTTATCGATAGACGGCGGAGTCATGTGATGTCTTATGTAATATGGTCAGTGAGAAGTCATAACCGGCTTATTTCCGGTGCTCCGTGCACGCTTTCCGCCCGGCGCCAACTGGTGGAAAAGTCCAGTGCTCCCTGCCGTGAGAATGGAAATTGGAAAGAGTGACATTCCAATCTGGCAGGCATCCAGAAGCCCAGCGCAACGTTCGAATTGACAACGCCGCATTGCCGATTCGTCCATTCCAACAGAGACAGTCTCAAGTTGAGATGCTGCTCGGAACACCAGGAAACCTTGTTGCAAAGCATAACGTGCATGATTCTCTAGCAATGACTCGAGACCACCACCCTCGGGCTTTCAGCTGCGCCTGTGAAGCTTTCCATCAACACGGAACGTGGGAGAGCAACACAGAGACAACCGCATACCAGATTACCCAGAGGCGGATTCCCTCCCATTCAGGCATGATAACGCCGAACCGCAGTCCGCTGAGGGAGCATTGCTCAAGTTTCGGCCAAATATTGCATGTCACTTCCCGCACAATCAAGTACCGGCGTCGCCAGGAATTCGAAAGAGCTGCTGCTGCGCAGGAACGAGGAGAGGACTTTGACAAAGAAGCGGACCATACGGTCCAGTCCAGAACACCCTCTAGCAATATACGCCCTTGCTCACGACGGCAGATGACCTTGTCCCATCGCCACAGCTTCAACTTCGCTTCCCTCAAGACCAATTGAACGCCAGCAACCTCCTCACGTCGAGCCGAACGGGACAGAGATGAGCAGATGAACACACCCTCACGCCAGCTGCGATCTGCACTGAACCCCAGCCCGTTCCCGCCCTCTGCCCACATGGCTCCCAGGCATTTCCGACTGCCCTGTCCTGCGTGACTGCCTTGTCTGGACTGACTGCAGTCTTTGACTTTCATCTCCCGCCCTCGTCGAACCCGCCTCTCTGGACCCAGACACGCCAAAGTCATCTCATATCGTCGACACCCTGCTACTGGCTGCTCTTTTACGGCTTCGTCTCTGAAACATCCGACATTGTGCGAATTCATTGGCCAAAAAGAAACAGACTCCTTGTGACAGGAGCTCCGAGCGTGAAACACTGGAATTGCTTTTCACCATGTCCCGGTCTAGCGTCGCCGCCAGGGAGCTTTTTCATCAGATGAAAGGGGGCTTGCTCAACCGCTATTGGCTATGGATTCAAATCCGCAAATCTGCTCTGACCTCGACGCATGATGGTCTAGGCCGTAGCCACAGAACAGACCTGCCAGAATCGATCATCACTTCCTTCGCTTGTTCACTATCGGCCCCTCACGAAGGACCCCTAATCCGATTCAACAGACCAAGAAGAGCAAGTCGTCCGATGGGCCTCCACGGGTGACGTGCAGACCTCGCGCCTGAACCGTGGTTCTTCTTGACGGGGCACGGGAGGCATGAACGGCATCGCCGCTCAATCGCGACGATCCATATGTCAAGCTGACGAGGGAGAGATGGTTCACCCTCGAATCATCAACTGTTGCTCCTGCGGTCATCATCATCCGGCATGCTTATTCCTAGCGCTGTGCCAATAGTGGGAGCAAGTGCTCCTGATGGCTCACAACACAGGTGCACACTCCATCGCATGTCCGTCTGCTTCGACACGGACATATCGCATGCTGAGCGCCACCGCATGAATGAAATGGACAGCACGCACGGCAGCCCGGAATGAGGCCGCATTGAATCGGAGAAGACGATACAGACGCCGCCGATGTGAACAATGGTCTGTGTTTAATCCGATGTAACGGAGCGACAGAGCGACAATTGTCCACAAACATCGGTTGCCCTCCCCGTACCGCCCTCTGCAGCACAACGCAGCACCAGCAACAATATCCGGGGGAGTTTGCACTACGTGTCGAGTCTGACAGGCACGATGCCGCCGACACCTGCAGTGTGCATCGGACCACTCAGGAGAAATGACAGCGGAGCACGACACGTTTGACCATATCTCGCATGCAACGGTTGGAAGGTTGCTCAATCGCCGGTTAGGAGCATCACCACAGCACAGCACGCAGCCAAAAGCCATGGAGTGATTTCCCGCCCCCAAAAAGGGAAGCAGAATGAGGCCGCGGTTGAGGGATGACGAAATTACGCCGTGTAAGCTGGGAAGTCTGCGAGAGAAACGGCCCCCGCCGCCATGACGTTGTGATGGGACGCCAATCTTAAGTGATCGCCTCCAGGAGGACTAAGGAATTAGAACCCCGGTTAGCCGCCGCCGGGCGAACAGGCTGGTCTGGCGCGGTTTGGTTAGCAAGCCAGGCACCCAAGCAGGGTGGCAGGGCGAAGCCACGGACAATGATGAAGGCCCCTTCACTCGCAGCAGCCACGCCGCATCAGCTGCAGGAGGTCCATTGCAACGTCCTGACTCTGGGCTGGCAAGGTTGACGCGCATCCTTGTGATGGAATGTTGTCCTGCCCTGCCAGCCATAGGAGCCATGACATAATGGTCGAAACCTTCTGTCGCATCGCCGCGAAGCAGGAGCCTTCGGATACCAGAGGGACGTCTCAGGCACAGTGAGAGCGAGAGAGAAGAGGGGGAGGCTCGTGGGCCGGACTTGATAAGAGGATAACAAACAGCAAGGAAATGCGATGCAGCAAGCCGGAGTCGAAGTCTCAGCGTCGCAGTTCGCCATGCTATGACCACATACACAGCAATGGGGCGACGGTACGGCTATCCGTCCACGAGAAAACTCCGATCTCATCGCATCAGGGCGGGGAGAAGTGAGGAGTCAGAAAATTTGCGTGATGGGGCAATGAATCCAGGCTTTGGACGCCCTTGTCTTGTTTGATGCCGGCGAGTACCGGGCCCCGAGGCCGTGGACGGCTTGCAGCAATACGGGTTCCAGCATGCTCTGAACCGCCTGTTCAGGGCTTCGCGGACGAATACGAAGGAAAATTGAGGGTATTCCACCAAAGCGACCTGCAGGTTCCCACCTGGGCTGGCCAAGATCGTACAGAGACTGGTCAGTGGTTGTAGAGGTTCGTTGCCTGACCATTTTTGAGTTGTGCCCGATACGGCCCCGGAAGCTAATGGCCACGAGGACATCTAGGTACTGGTGTCCGGCTGTTGAGGTAACGGTACTTGTGAAAGAAGACGATGATCCCTGCCACCCAACGGCGCTTGACCCTGTGC